GCAGCCAGCTCTGTGAAATGTGTGTGCCTGGGGAGCTTCCACTGGATCAAATTGCCTTGTAAATCCTCCTGACAGTGTATATGGATATCACCTCGCTTTACACACAGTTCTGTGATAGCAGGTCAGCCCTTCTCGTTTCTTCAACGTATGCATAAATTAATATTTTAAAATGCAAAAAAAATATTTTTATGGGGGATGCAAAGGTTTTTTCTTGTGTTGCCTGCGCGGACAGTCAACACGAGGCAACTTTCTCTTAGGGATTCCTCCCCTCTGAGAAAATGTTTTTGTACAATAAAGGAAAAAGAGTGTTGCTTAGTTCATGAGAGCGTAACATGGCCAAAATATTCCTCTTTGCATACAGAAGTCTTTTGAAAGCTTTCTTGGAATTGGCTGAGTCATTCTCGCGTGTCTTTACCTCTCTCTAACAAATAGGAACTTCCTTTAAAAGGTCCAGTTGGTCTGTTCTGAAGTTTACAAAACAACCATCCTCTCTCACAGCTCATTTCCTTTTCTTTTTCTTTCTTTTTTTCCTTTTCCTTTTCCTTTTTTCTTTCTTTTTTTCTTTTCCTTTTCTTTTTTCTGTTTTCTGTTTTCTGTTTTTTTTTTTTTCTTCTTTATCTTCTTTTTCTTTGTCTTTTTTTCCTGTTGCTTCTGACCATGCCATAGAACAATTTTTTACTATGCTCACCACAGCTCAGCATGATGGGCTTATATCCGAGTAGGATTTTATAAGTGTTAAGGTAGAGCAAATGACAGTTGGACTGCTTGTGTGACACTGGCTGAGGAATCACGGTACTTAGAAATCATGACTACAGCACGTGAGTGGACAATACTCAGTTACCTTAGGTTGTGACCTCTATTCTGTCATTACAATAAAATAAAAAAAAGTAATCTTGGAAGCCTTAATATCATGAACCTTCAAACTGAAGTATAAAAAACCTGTAAAGAATAGCATCCAGGAAATTATTCAATCAAGGACTGAAAACTAGACAAAAGTATGTACACTGCAAATATTAATTTATTGGCTGTAATATATTCATTGATTCTACAGTCTAATATGGCTATGTCTAGTGCACTAATAAATGTGTTTGAGTAGAGTCAACATGCAATGATGGAAGTACGTTTCCCATGGTACGGCTTTGCCAGACGACAGTGTTATTACCCCAACTCTCAGCTCAGAAAGTCACACAGCCAGTGAGCTGACCTTGGTCTTCTCCATTATACCTGCCTTTAAACTTCACTTAAACAGTATGTGAGCTTACTAATTGCATTTGTGAAATACGTTTTAAGGATATTTTGAGAAGTGATGTGAATGATAATAAAATAATGAAAACCTGTACGTATATAATTAACAGAACCTATAAGGTGTGTCACTGCACATCACACCGTGCTTGTACAAACTCCTCTTCTGCCTATGCCTCATCAGTGCCTGTTTAGTCTAATCTTTCTAACTGTGTTTTGCAAAACAATGTAGTAATTGCATCATTTAATCACTAGACGTAAGTAAATTTACCATGCATTGCGGAAATGAAATAACCTTTAAAAACTGTTAAGCAGACTTAGAGCAAGTTTTCAGAGGCAGCGCAAAGGAAAACCTTGCTCTTTAGTAAATAGAAGTGTGTTGATACTCTAAGTTCAACAAACAATCCAGGACACTGGAAAATTTGAGGGTTTTGATAATTTTATCTCAGTGTGGAACATGCAATGCTTGTTTATGGTTCAGATGTTACCCTCTTGCTAAGAGAAAAATAAAGTGCTTTTTGTACTGCTGCCAAGATACAACTTAAGGGAAACAGTGAGTTCATCATTTCAGGTTGTGTTTTCTTCCTCCTGTGCTTCTTCCATTCAGATACATAACAGATTTGTGGAAATCGTCAAAAAGTCCTTCTCATGTAACTTCCTGCACCTTTTGGAATAAGCTTTAAGGGATGATAAGCTCTAATAGAAGTTTAACATTTCAGCTATTCAGCTGGCTGTGACACAAATGGCTCTTTAGAGTAGAGTTGATAAATGTATTTATTCAGACTTTTCCAAAACAGACGCTGCTGCAAAGAGCATAGGATAAAATTTATTCTCTAAGAGAAAATCAGCACAAGGTCACACAAATCTCGTGTAACCCTGAACATCTGGCCAAATGCCATAAAATTTGAGTATATCTGAATGGGTTTTGAAAATTATGTGTGTGACAGTCCATATTTGTATCACATAAATAATTTAAACTTTTGGCCCAAGTTAGGAACAGCAAGACCTAATTCTGTATAAATACTCATCCAAGCTGTTGCCTATACCATTCTTCGAAGAAAGAAACCTGAAAGAAGCAAATAATGGGTACTGTTCACATTAAAATAATAATATTAAACAAGCCCACAGAAAATGGCTTATCTCACTGGGGAGCTGGACAGATGGGTTGGCATCAAAACACTGCTTGCTCTCCTGTGTGTGCCTCCTATTTGTACTCTGCTTTGTTTTTGCAAGCAGTTGTAATAGTCTGTGCCTTGTGCACAGAACTGTTATTCTTAATGAAAAACAAACTGTAAGAAAATATTTAAGCAATACAAGAAGTGTGAACTGAAAAGTCTGAGCAGTACTGATGTGTGTGCACATGCATGAATACAAATATGACACACTGTTAAAAAAAAAAAAGCCAACCAGGCAGCGCTACCGTGATGACCTTTCAGTTTGTAGACATTCAAGCCCTGTGGTTTAGTTTGTGATTTAGCGCTTTTGAAGCCATCTTCTCAAAAAATGTGTGTCACCTTTGTTTGCAGAGGAAAATGGGTCAAGAATGAGGACACCTTTTCTGCAAGGTTATGTGGCAAAGGTGTAGACATACTGACATACCCTGTTGACTGAAGCTGATGACCTCCCCTCCGCCTTTTCGGGGCACTTTTTTCCTTCTTCTGTATAACTAACAGCAATGTTCATGATTCAAAGGCATGAGAATGCGTGAAGTAGACATTTTATTTTGTTAGGTTTTCCTTTAGAGGGAGGAATTGATTTTTCTTTAATGGCCATGTTTAATATTCATGTTACAGATATACGTCAGAAAAGGACAAAGAAAAGTTCCTGGCACTTGACACACCGGTGACTGCCGTTGTGTGTGTATGCAAACACCAGATGATGTTCATAGCTAACAAGGACCAGTTGTTTGCTCTCTTCTTGTTCCTTCTTCTGAAGGAACCCCACAGGTTTCAACATGCACTTTAATGTAAAAACTCGAAACTTTACTTAAAATCCTTACCCACTTAATGCAAATCAGTTGCAACTATGTCATGAGGTTGAAGTCACAGGAACAAATAGTTCTCATGAACTGTTTGAATAAAGCATACAGCCTGAGATGTTGCCGTGATTTTCTGGGAAATGCAAAATCCCTTGTTGGAGAATGTAAGATGGAAAATCGTGGGGGTTTTGTTTCAGAAAGTTACTAGATTTCCATGTACTAGTGATGTGTAGTCTTGCTCTGAGATGTTGTAGATATCACAGGACAGATTTTGCCTGGGGAACAGGTGGCTATAGGCGTCTGGGAAAAAGGAGTTTAAAATTTTTCTCAATTAAAAACTGTTTTTTGCTAACTTGTCTATAGCATAACACGAGTGGAATCTTATCTTCAAGAATGCAGAGGTATGTCCAAAGACATCCAAACTCAGGTTCAATTTTGGGAATCCATAGTCAGGGTCTTCTACAGAGAACACTACACCCTGGAGTCCATCAGCATTATTCATGCGTGATGCCCTAGTTTTGGTAGGTTCCCCCAAATAATTTGCTCAGAGTGTGTCCACTCTGCAGACTCTAGTGTAGATGTAATTCACCTTAAATGAGCTCCTCCAGGTCTAGCATAGCCACCTAGAGTTTGACAGAGGCCAAGTTACCCTGCTGCTTGGCCAGAAATTTTAACTTGTTCAAACCCCAGTGTAGCTGTAGCTGATCAGCTTCCACCACCTGAGCTAACACTGTCCATGTACCGCTCAGTTCCCCACACAGACCCTCAAACAGCTCTGTTGTGTGTAGATGGGGGTCCAGTGTGTTTGGAGTTTTAATGATGGGGGACCACAGTTTTCAAGCGAACCACAAAGTTCATCAGAAGCCACAGAGGACCACAGAACTTCAGAGCGACCTTTTGTTTTCAGTACAGTCCATTTTATTGCAAGGTTTGACGCTGCATAGGGTCAATAACAAGTTATTTCACTGCAGATCAAGATAGATTTTGATACTGGCTGTTTGCTCAAGTATCAGATTTATTCCTTCAGATATCCTCATCTGAGCAAGTTCTTTGTGGAGCGGCTCTGCAAGGCTCCCTTTACTGGCCCTGGAGAGATGTTGGTTCATCAGACCTGTTTCAGACATCCACTCTGGCCTGAGTGCAAGCCCAGGGGGACTAAGTCAGCTGTGTGCATTGCAGATCTCTACTTTTGATCCGGTGAATCCCACCCCCAGAGTCTGCTAGTGAGCCATCTGGTCTGCAACAAGGTCCTCTGCATGGCAGAGAGGGCAGTCTGTATCTGCTCTTGGCTCAGCACAGGCAGCACCTCGCAGAGCCCCTAACTATGGTAGTGAAGGAGAAGTGAGATGTTCCTCTTCCACCTGAGCAGGCCAGCATATACTTTGCCGAAGTTGGGCTATCAAGCCTCCGCTCAGATGGGGATATCTGAAGGAACAAATCTGATTCTTGAGCAAACAGCCAGTATCAAAATCTGACTTTCGTTTGTTAGTCACATTGTGTATCTTGAAGGAGAGGCTGGTTTCTATTGGTGAGCAACTGGTTGTACCAGCCACACCAGGATGACAAAGCTTGAGTTTTGAATAGCTGTCAGCACAGAGGTGTGTACTCCAAGCAGTGCTGAGATACAGATGTTTGCTAAGGGATAAGTGTCCCGCTGGTGTGCCACCATTGATTGGATGGGACAGTTGCATAAAGCACCTCAGAGTAAGACCAGCCTCCATCCTCTGAGAGAGCCCTGAGGCTGTTCCTGTTCAGAAGAAAGCCGGACTCCAGCAGCAACATGTCTCAGCTGGAAACTGCGATGGGAATGACCATTGCTGTCTTTGACAAGTATGCAAAGACAGACGGCAACAGGCAAACCCTCACCAAAGCAGAACTGAAGACCCTTCTGGAAAAAGAGCTCCCAAACTTCCTCTCGGTAAGAGAACAGCACAGCATCATTTCTGTGTAGCGGGTGCAAGAGCTGCCTGCAGATGCAGGTTTTAGTACATTATAGGGGAAATTGCATCTGGAAATATGCAATGGTTTGTAGAAAATTTTAAATAAAGTCTTTGCACATACTGTGTAAAACTGATTCTACTATTCAGGGCCATTCCCTGTTTACTAAATTCATCGCTCGAGTTATCAGGACAATGACTTTGAAATAGATTGGGTTTAATCTTCAGAATTCACCTACTTCTTCTGTTTATCCCTGGATTTATCAGCTCACGTCATGTCACAACTGCTGTGAAGGTACTTGTCAGCAATTGAAGATCTTGACTGCAGATGGGGAATCTCTCTAAATATTTATGCACTTACTTCCTCTAGGTATTTATGCTACATACTCAGTATGCACATCAAAATGATGCATAAACAAGAACAACAGATGAACTCAGAGCAAACTGGTTTGCATTTGTCTTTAATAGTAAAAGAAAGACCTGAAGAAGTATTTTACAACATAGATTTGTATGTAATCATCAGGTGCTTTTAAGTAGGTTTTATATATATATATAAAATTTCTCTTAGTAGGTATTCAAAATGCTTACTATATTATAGTAAGAGCTGTAGCTGCCTGGGAGACAAAATGCCTTTCATTTTGATCATTTTTTATTTGCTTCCCTTCACTAAAAATCCAGAAAGCACTTTTAAATATCTTGTGCTTTCCACACAGGAGTAATGTTTATCTATCTGTACAGTTGTTATTATTCTTAATTGCAAAAGCCTAGAACCAAATTTTCCAAATGTGGCTACCACTTTTTGTATCCAGCATAATTCAATTTTTTAACAACTATTTCAGGGCACTGCAGCCAGGGGACTTGATACAATTTAGTATCTTTCCATGCAAGCTATATGAAATCACCGTATGAAATCCATGCCTGCTGGATTCATGACTCACAAATGAAACACAGATGCAGTATTCAGAATAAGAACGTGGATGGCTCTGGGGGGGGGTAGAAGAAAATGTCTGAAAAAACTCTGTAAAACAGCTGAGTGGTTGTGACCCAACAGCATCATAGGAAGCGTCCTGCTCCTGACCATGGAGCTGTATGTTACCTGTAACACTTCCACGTAAAGAAAAACAGAACCAACAACAAAACCACAACCTAAGGGGCACAGAAATCTCCCAGAAACTTGACATCTGGTCTAAATAAAGTTGGGGAGCCGCTGCGCTAGACAACTACCAAATGGGATGGTGCTCAAAAGTTGTTCCTGACTACATTTACTGGCCAGGCACCACCTTTTCCAGTTCCCCACAGCTGCTCTTACTGGCTCTACTTATTTCCCGAAACTGCTGGAAAACCTGGAATTTTCCAGGAAGGTGATGAGCTGAATGTCCTCTTATGTTCTAGTCTCCATCTCCCTTTCCCATTTTACCTTTTCTAGGGGGAAAAAAAAAAAAGGCACAAAATAACATTTTATGCCAGTACTTAAAATAAGTTTAAACCAACAATGTCCTGTCTTGCAGACTAATAACTGCAAGAAACAACCTGAGAACATAAGTGTGACTTCAGAAAAAAGTTTTACCTCCTTTTTCCTGACATTTATATCCATATTTTTTTATTTGCAAGAATATTCTGGGAAACAGAGTCTTTTAAATACTCATGTATATTTCTGGTCTTAGAATTGGTTATTGCTGACACAGCTCACAACTATCTGGAAAGGTTTTGAATCAATCAGAGGCAGAAATAAATCCATACCACAGGACTGAAGGATTGGACTCAGTTATAAAGAGTTTCCAAAAAATAATTCCCATATGTGCATTTCAGAAGTAATTCAGAGGCTAAAACTAGTTCATATATTTCACTAGATAATTTAAAATATTTGCTTATAAAATTAAAACTGATGGTAATTTGCAAAGTGAAAAGCAATAAAACCTTCCAGACACATTCATCGGTCAAATCTAAGGAACTGGGTCAATTTTTAGTGATTTTAAAAGTGCATATATTTGAAGTGAAACATGAAATTACAGAATGAGAGATTTAGTTAATTAAGGTAGTCATTATTTTAAATTCGTGGAAATTTTCCAAAAGTTTATATAATTTCTTTCTAAAATAATATCAGGTTTGTTTTTTGTTTAGCGTCAACAAAATCCGCACGGGTGTTTCCTACATTAGATAGGTCTCTACTGCCATCCCTCGTTTATTTAAAAAACTGCGTTTTCTAAAATCACTGGAGTTAATCAGTGCCGGGACTAGCCAAAAAGCCCTCCTGCAAGCTACTTTAGGAAAAAACCTTTTTTTATTATTTTGGCAAATTTTTTTAAAAATCTTTTTTTACTTGGATGGTGCCTCTCTTAACATCAACCTGGAGATGTACAGGTTCAGTCAGCCCGTCAGAATTATGGCAACTTAGAAAGAAAAAGATTTTTCTGGTATTTTCCCTGCGGTAACTCAAGCTCAGCATCACACTTGCTTCAGGAGGTGCCTTTCCAGACGCCAGCTCCTGTGAGCAGCTTGTGCCGGGCACCGAGGCCAGAGGGAGCACTCGAGCACTTTTGAGGCCATTTGCATCTTTGCTGGGGTGGCAGTGCTTAATGCAGCTTAAATCTGACATTTGCCCCAGGAACGCATCATTTTGCAGAACTGCCCGAGCTCCAGCTGAGTCTTTCCACGGGAGCGGACGGGGAACGCGTGGCATTGAGTTCAGCTGGGTAATGTCCTCAGGGCTTTGCATTACACAGCTTAGCCATGATAAATGTTGTTTTAAATGTGGAAAACATGTTTCTCCATGCTGGTGTGTGATCACAGCTCTCAGGTGTAATAAACCCAGGAACATACGCTTTCTGGGAGGCATGGGCGATGTGCTCGCTGCCGCTGTACAGAGGGTGGGAAGATGCAGGTCTGTGCCCGTGCCATGAGGATGCCGGGACTCACACTTGCCCCCACCATCACCCAGAGCCCCCCAACCTCTGCCTGTTCCCCACATGCCTGGGCCTGACCCCAGCAGCGGCATAAGTCCCTGCGGGAAGGATGTGCCTTTCAGGCAGCTGGAGGAGGAGATATGCAGCTCCCACCGAGATGGGCAGGTGGGGGTACGGCTCCCGGGGGACGTGGCCCATGTCCCGTGCTGGGCACTGAGCAGTTGTCTCAGCCAAATACGTGCAGAGGAACTCATGGCTTTATACCCAGAGGTATAATGCACAAAACAAGCGAAGAGAATTAAAAAAAAAGGTCTCACTAGCAGAAAAATGTGATAACCTGACACTCCAGGCAGGCCTATGGCAAGGCTGCATGCAGGAGCTGTTACACCTCCATCACACTCCCACAGAAAGGTACAATGTGCCCGAGCTGGTGTCAGCCTCGCACTCCCTGGGTGCCCGCCCCAACACCTCGGCGAGGGCCCGGAGCCCCACCAGGGCCCTTGTTTGGGGTACAGGTAGTTACGATGCTGCGGTAGGGTTTGTGCCGCCTCTCACCTCAACCTCCTCCTTTTCTTTTGCAGTCGGGGAAGGACAAGGATGCCATTGATAAAGTCTTCAAGAACCTGGATGAAAACAGCGATTCCCAAGTGGACTTCAAAGAATTTGTCATCTTTGTGGCAGCTCTGACTTGCTGCTGTCACAAATATTTTGAGCAGAAAGCAGCCAAATAATTGTCAAACTGCTCACAAGAAGCCGCCTTTGCCTGTGTTCCATATGCTAGTGGTATGGATCCCTTCACTTCTTCCATGTACTCCCATGCAGTTTACAAGCATGCTGGGCTGTAAAAATAAATCCTACTGTGCTTACTTCCCTGTCTTGAATGTTAATTTCTGCTCCTTTGTGGAAGAGCCTGGGTTTAACGGCTCCCACTAACTCTCACTGAGTATTTTCTCTCTTTCTCTGCTTTTTAAAATTCTGTTCTTAGCCAAAAGGCTCAATATTCATCCCAGCACAGAGGCCGCACAAGGGTAAAAGCTGCTGGAGCCATGAGTCAGCTGAAGGCTGCTTTTATACAGCAGCATCTCTGGGTCGCAGCCTGCCAAGCTTCAGCTGATGGAGACTGCAGCCTAAATCCACATATGTGCCACCACGGCTGTACGGGATGGGTCTCACTGGGACTGCCTTTGAGCCTGTTTGGTACCCTCAGCTGTGCAGTTATTGCAGGGCTGCCGTGTAGGCTCATCCTTGGTTAAAAAACCAAAACAAACCCAAACACTTTTTTTTTTTGGCAGCATGGAGGATTCTGTGCAATTTTATGTATTTTAAGTGTATTCATCTTTTGGGGAACCCGCTGGGAAAAGTTTGGGCCTATTAGATTATTTCAGCCTGGTTTAACCATTACAGGTGTCCTTTCATCTAGCTGCCTTTGGTTTCTTGGTTTGGCTGTACCGACTAAACACCACTTAAAACTTTATTCCTAATACCAAGGGCGCAGTGTCCCAACGTGCTTTAATGGATGTGACTGCCAGCTGCTTTGGGAAAGGCTCTGCTCTTCTCTGCCCAAGCACTGTTGGGTCAGATCAAGCAATCGCGATCCAGGGGCCAGGCTTCCCTTGGTGAACATGGCTCTGTCCCCACCAGAGCTGTCCAACCCCGAGCTGGTGTACGCACCAGCACCGTACCTGGCACAGACACCCACAGAGGGGGTCCCCCACCCAAAAAGCGTTAGAGCCACGACTGCTACGAGTGGAAGCAGCTGCTGATGCAGCTGCAAACGGTGCGGCAATGGGTGCTGTTAGCCCATGGTCACGGTTAAATCAGACAGAGACTATACTTAATATGCAACCAAAAACTAGTGAGTGTTGCCCACATTCATGCCTTCTCCCTGGCACCTTGCTGAGAACAGATTCCCAGCTTAGCATGGACATACAACAAAAAACTAATGATCAGTTATTCCTCATTCTCTAATAGACTTCATAAACTAGTATCTATGCATGCAGGAGTTTGCTCGAGAAAGAGGAAGCATGCACACGAGTGTCTGCCTCTGTGTGTGTGCATGTCTGTCCCTTGCTGAAAAGGACAGCAGGGGTTTGTCCCCATTCCAGCGCTGCTACAGACTGAGCCCTTGCAACCGAGCATTTTGAGCAGGGGACTGTCTTCTAATCCCCAAACCCTTGTGGCACACAGTCCTGCTGAACAATGCTCAGAGGCTTGCTGAGTTCCTGGATGGCTGGAGATAAATTGCATCACGTATATTACACTTGCAGAAGTAACATTACTTGCTTTGTTGACAACAGTAATATTTCTCTGCACTACCTGAGCAAGAAAACTACTAATCATAAAAATGTGCAAAATTCTTCCCAATCCAGGGATCCCAAATTAGCCTTTTTTTCAGCTACTACTCCACATTATTTCAGTTGTTTGAGATACCTTTACAGCTCTAATCCCATATGTCCCTGCCCGATGACTGCTGTGCAGCTCGTCACCTGCAAGGGATGGCAGATTCCAGTATTCACATTCCTCACTATTTTGTCAAGGCTATAAATGAGCAAAGCAGTCTCCTTACTGCAAAATAAGTTGGTTATAAATTACAGAGGTACATTTCATATATTGCATATCTAGCTAGATAGTGGTATAAACCATCCTCAGGTGAGGAAATTTAGGTGATACCTGTCACCAATTGATCGGTGTCCTAATTTTAGATAGTGGTATAAACCATCCTCAGGTGAGGAAATTTAGGTGATACCTGTCACCAATTGATCGGTGTGTCCTAATTTTTTTTTTCAATGTATTTTTCCTTTTCCAAGTTTAGCATTAGTGCATAAAAGATTTCCTCTGTGTTGCCTTGCAATATCCATCCTCACTGAAATTATTTTTTTTACCACTGTGTGGCACTAAATGCAGCCTTTTTATTACCCACTGAGCCCAAAATTCCACATACCGTGAGATAGAATGTAAAGAATTTGTGTTAAGATTTAAAAACTTTCAGAAACGTTCTTAACATCATGGCAATTTTCTCTCTAAGCAAACACTGTATGTCCCATCGAGAGCATTTCACTGATCGCAATGGAAGCAGCAGGAGCAGAGAGCCATGCAGAGGCTCCATCTCTTGGGCTTTCGGTAGGGTTTAGCTGCAGCATCCCAGTTTGACCCCTGTGAAAGTTGTTTCCCCTCGTTTGTAGACTGCAAATCCCTTGTGCAATTTATTGTCGTAGCATTCTACACCCCGCTGAGATCAATTTTTAAACACATCTTTTAAAGAGCATATTGGTGAAAAGCTCCTGTCTTGTCAGCCAAGAGATTTACCTTATTACTCCATTTTATCCATTGGATTTTTAAACCATGCTGGTCAGCAGTGAGAGCTGTATATCATCATGAGCAATACTGTAATTTACCCCATATTTCACTCTTATTTCCTAACTTCCTGCCCCCGGTGTCCAATACCCACACAATTTCACTCACTCTCTAATGCCATTTTGCCCATTTTCCTGATTTTGTGCAGGTTTTATCTGTGCTCGTAGGGCATTTGAAGACTTGGTTTACTCTGCTTACCTGCAGTTCTGCTCACAGCAGCACAAAGCTGCTTTGTAACCGCTCTACCTCCCAAAATGGGTACCAACCAACTATGGTGAGCTCAAGCACCCTTGCTTCTGTGAAGGAGTACCTGAGCTAGCCCTCTCGCCACCAGCTCAAGTGTGCTATGAAACAAGTGGGATATTATTTTTCTCATTGTTCCTGCAGGCCCCAATCCTGAAGACTCTTACACTTGTGTTTAACTCTCGTTAGGCCCCTGGTCCCACCAGTACCTGTGGGGACACCTGGGGAGCCCAAAGACCATGCCCAGGAGCACACAGATGCTGTGTGCTGCTTTGCTAACCGGAGGGAGCTGTGCATGTTCAGAGCTGCAGAAAGAGGGGGAAGAAAAGGGGTTTGGGTGGGTTTTTTTTTATTTTTCCCTGCAGATCTTTCAAAAGCTGTAACTCAGTGATGAATATTCATTTCAATGTAGTACTGAAAATTCAACTGATGACACCTCAGAGAGAAAATGATCCAGGAATAAAAGAAATTAACATATAGCTCCCACCTTATCATAGAACAAAAGTGACTTTTCAGAATATATTATTTAACCTAAAAGCATTTCAGCAGAGTCACTTTAATATCTTTCAATCCACTAATTTTGTTCCCCAGTATTATTAATTTTTGCTATGAACCCACAGTTTACCCAGAATATACTGTGTATTTCCTTCCCTGGGTAAACTTTTGTCATTCAAGGTTCAAATTGCAGAGATGCTAGTCCTGGTTTTATAGCCACCATTTAATCCCAGCTCTTAGGCCTAAGTGTATTGTGTAGAATGAGATAGTTTAAGAAAGAGTATAAGGCAGATGTAAGAGAAAGGCAAATACAACATAAGAAGCAGCTCAGCAAATGTGAGCTAACAGTTGTGGGCAGGACATGTTTGACTTATGTTAACAGAAAATAAGATACGGGAAAAGATATTACTAGCAAATGACAGAATTGTCAAAATGCAAAGGGGAAATCGTCATCTGTGATGAGCTTCAAATCAGGCAAGGCTTAAAGGCAGAGGTCAGAAAGTCAACTAAGCAGCAAACCAGCCAATAGGTATTTTTGTTATCTTATACAGAAAAAATATAAATTTGTATTAATAGTAGATACCTTCTGTAGATTAAGATATTCCAGTATCTATAGTTGCCATTTTGAAATTTGGTGGGGTACTGTCAAGGCTCTTCAGTTTTTAAAATGACATATTGAAATTTTTTTCTGAGTGTACAGACAGGAGAAAATAGGCATAATATCACCTCACCCTGCAGTCACTTGTGGTCACTTATGTTGTGGTTTTACCTGGGAAGGTTCCTCATTATCTTACCTTCAAGTTCACTGGGGCTCATGGGAAAAAATAATTCACCCAGTCAAGCATAGCGTTTATCTCCCCAGTAAACCCAGTTTGGGGCTGGAAACTGGACATTTCTCTCCCTAGGCCCTCCGAGCATCCCACACTAGCAACACGTACCTTCAACACCTGACCTACAGTGCCAAGATCAAGCTCTTCACAAAATACATTTTAGCTGCTGGTTTCCTTATAAAAGGTGGGTAGAGGAGGAGGAGATGCTACCTATCTTTTATGCAACAGTCTCACAGTGAAATGCTCCCGTAGGAGCTGAAAAATTGCATTCAAACCTTTCCTCAGCTGAAACCCACACACGCCAGCTGAGCACACTAAATAGCAGGAGCCAGGGTGGCAGGAGGCCCAGGGTACCTGCCACCTGCTCCCTCCATCACGTCAGAGACTGGTGAGGCTGAGGAGGCTTGAAAAAGGGGCGCATGAGAAGTAGCACATCTCTGTAGCCTGGTAGATGGATATATAGCCGGCAGTGCAGGTGTCTGTGTCCCAGATAGGTTATAAGGGAAAATTCTGTATTTTAATTGATAACTACTTAATGCGGAACACACAGCCAGCATAACTGAAAAGATACTCTTTGCCAGGTAAGTTCCCAAGCTATCAAACAGTAGAGCTATGGTCGCTGCTCCGGTCCTCTCTCTTGGACCACGTTCTCTGCAACAGGCTGAAAAGATTGCAGCAGAGGATGGGAGGGAGCATCTCCTCCTCCTCCTCCTTATCCTCATCCTCCTCCTGCTCCGAGCAGCCAGTCAACCCTGTAAAATGGTATAAAACAGTGGGTGATGCTCTGCTCACCACCGGCAGAGTGAAAG